CTATGTTATATGTTAAGCTCAAAAACAGTTGCAAGATAGGCAAAAAGACTATGCAAGAATGGGAAATAAAGGGTGAAGTTCTTACCCTTGATGACCCTTTTCACAAACAGTGGTCCAGCAGCTTCTCTAAGCTCAAAACCAGCCAAAAACTTCAAGGATAGCCTCTTAGTACCTCAGTAGTTAAAAGAAGGTGTGATGGTGGGTGTTTATGCACAAAAGTAAGACAAAACACACACAAAACACAAAAGAGAGGGAGATATAGATATAGGATAGATACACAACTCAAACCCTAAAACTAGAACCCTCTGAAAATATTGTCTAACCTAAAAGAGGGAGAAGAGGCCCCTCTTTATAGAACTTCCCTCTTGTAAAGCTTCTCAAGTAAGCCATCCAAGACGGAAATCCCACCATACACGTGTATGGAGGGGAGCAAAGGTGGGTGCCAGCTATCACAGCTGGCACAAAAATATCTGCAAAAGCAGATGAACAGTGATCGGCTAGCCAAAAATGCAATTCGACCAAAATAGATGGTCGGTCGACCATCTAGAGTGCCGGTCGGCCAAATATTTGGCCGATGGCAAAAAAACACAGCCGGTGGCCTCAAGCCATGGCCGGTGGAGTGTGGGGATGGCCCAAAAGCCATTCCCTGCCCTCCAAAGCTAAAACACAAGTGTTTGGTGCAAAACCCGACACAAAACAGTCGAGTCGGGAGATCCTGAGGTAAGGCGCCTAGCCGAGGCCTCTGGGAACTCAAGACGAACACAAACAAGGATGATAACCGGGTGTTCAAACGGTGACGTCCAAGTCTTGAGGACGGTCAAAAATGGGGTGTCTACAAGTAGACTTATGATGACCCAAAGTTCAGAAGAAATTGTGGTTATGGCAGCCGCATTAAACCAAGGAATCATCTTGCAAGATGAGACCAATGTCGATGTACCACATCTGCCCAGGTCGCCTGCTGCGCACCCGATCTGGACACCCCAGTTGTATCAAGCCCGCTATCCCACCACGTTCGAGTTAATAGGAATGATTGGCGACCTTCAGAGGTCTGTGGCTGATCTTGCCTATGGAATGTCGGCTTCGCCACCAGCCACATCGTATGTCGGGAATCTTGTACCACAGGAGCCCCCTTTTCTGGGGCGAATTATGATTGAGCTCAGCCAACCAGAGGTTGCCTCCAGCTATAGCAATGACGTGTCAACAACAACCAGGTTTCGCTCTGATATAGTAACCCAAACCCTCGATCAGGCTGAGGCCAGAGGTAAGAACAAAGTGGGAACAGATGCTGATCTCGTTGAACAACTGCTGTGGGTAGTCAAGGCTTTGAAAGCCGGGGAGATAAATAAGCAGTAGGTATTTGCAGTTATGGCCAAGACTGTGGATGATGCTTTCCTCTCTCCAACCGAGGGCAGTTCGAGCCAGGCAAAAAATCGGAATAGACCCCATCATACCAGAACAGTTCTAGCCAATCCCAACCCTGCACCGGAAAGAGATCAGAAGGCCAAGGCAGTGCCTGCCGACCCTTTCGCTAGTGCGTCTAGCAAGAATTCACAGACTTTGAAGTATCTGCCCCGAGGGCGCAGACTCTTTCACGCTCTCTACATGCCTTTGTCTAAGGCACTTCAAATCCTGGCTGAAAAGGGGCATCTTAAACCCCTCGAGCCTAAGCCTCTCCCTAGTCATCTTCCAGCAGGCCATGATGCTACTCAGTACTGCGTGTACCATCAGCAAACCAGTCACCCCACCGACAACTGCTTTCGTCTTCGCCATGAAGTACAGGACTTGATCGACAATAAGGTCATCCTCCCACCTACCTCAGCAAAGTCTGTCACCACTGAGCTGTTGGACTTTGAGGATACTATAAGTATGTGATCAGGGGTTGGACCACCTACGGGCGACGCTCGGTGTATTTCAAATGTGGCGTTTGGCACGCATTGTTTTGAGCATTCGTGAATGCAGCTTTGTAATTTCTGGCTTGGGTTTTGAGTCAGTTCTTTGTTTTTGTTTTGAATCTATCTCATTGTCTTGAGTCAGTCTTTTGGCTTAAGGGTCTGTCTTGTTGTATCGAGTCAGTCCCATTGTATAGAAGTTAGGTGATCCCGGGGTTGTTGCCTCGAACACCGTTTTGTTTTGTAATTATCTTTTTGCTTTCTTTTTGAGTCTGTCTCTGCTGTGGAGCCAGTTGCAACCAAGAAATCTGAATGAAACAGCTGCGGCTATCATGATTCCATGCTTACTACTACTTTGAGCCCGTTGTGCCAGAGGATTTGAATGGGACGGCCGTGCATTCCACCCGCTCTTCTGCACCCCAAAATCATTGCATTGACCTAAGTTTTTCAAAACTTTTTTAACACTACAATGATGAAAACAAAGAGGAAGGAATTCCTCGGGATTTGCAAAATCTGATCAATTGAGTGAAAGAGAGGCATGCTAAGCCCTTAATGAATGAAATCATGTTTGTTAACATGAGTACTGAGAAGGACCTTGGTTTGATCCAGACTGGTTCCACACTATCTTCAGCGCGAGCGATTTGTCGCTTTCTTAAAAACTTTCAAAAACAAAATGTTTTGCGCAGTCCTACGAAGACCTGTGTGGAATCGCTCTTGAGATTGTGCAGATTAAGATCGCTCTCAGCCTCCAGACTTGAGCCCTTGCTTTCAAACCTTGGACCTTGGGTTCAGACTGTTCAACGATCAACCGCGATATAAGGCCTGTGTGGCCAGATTTGAAGCAGCCCTCGAACAAGAGGCACCAAAGTCAGATCAAGAAGATCAGACCTCATCAGAAGAAGCTTGCAAAGCTAAATCAGAAGCACCCCTCGAACTAGGGGCAAAAATGTCGATGTGCTCGAAGAGCCGAAGATGGATCCTTCTGTAAATCAATACAACAGCCACTCTCCTGGATACGGATGGCTTCAAAACCCTAAAACCATTTGGCATGGACTTTGTTATACTTTTACCCTTTGAGAGGCTCGCTAGGCCGAAAACCCGGAAGGGCGACCCAGGCAAAAGTTAGAGCAAGAGAAAAATACAAAAGAAAAAAAGAAAAAAAAAGAGAAAAGAATAAAGAAAAAAAATGCAAAAGATGAAAAAAAAAAGAAAAAGAAATGAAAAGATACAAAAAAAAAAAGAATTAAAAAGAAAAGAAAAACAAAGCTCGCAAGGTTGAAAACCCACAAAGGGCGGCCTTGGCAAAAGTTAGAGCGTAAAAAAGTGAGGGTTAATACCCGAGTGTACCTTAGCAGGAACTACGTGAGGCTTGATTCCCATGTTTGGGATATGTAGGCAACTTCATCCTGAAGCAGCCCCCAACGCTTTCAAAGCGACTGTGTCCATATATTGGTTTTGACCATCTTCGTCTTCTCTGTATCCGAGAGTTTGGTTGTGATCATCACTAAGAAGGACTGTTTACAACATGCTGCAGCGTGATCCAGACAAGGGGCAACTTTCCGTTGCCATGAATCGCCATTCAAACCAGGGGCAACTTTCCGTTGCCGTGCAGTGTCATCCAAACATGGGGCAATTTTTCATTGCCTCCGATCCGAGGTTGTGCATCTCGAGAGTAAGTTCCATGCTCATTGAACAATGATCGTTTGCAAAAATAGTTTTTGAAAATTTTTACTGAGGTTGACTATTTTCTCGAAAATTGTTTCATTTTCCAAAACTGGACCATTTTATTGGACCCAAAAAAGGAAAATTTTCAGTGCTCATAGCCTAACTTGCATGATTTTAAATCAAAAGTCAAACAAACATGTTAATCTAACTCTCGTGTTGGTCAAAATTTGTTTTAGTAGAAAACCAAAACAAAAAATGGTCAAAATGATGAACTAGGGGCGCAGTCTGAGTCAGGTGTTCCGTTTTTTTCCCATCGTTAGCATGCTTGCCAAGAAGGGCACTCTACCTGCTGGAAAGGGCACAACTAAAGCTGTCTGTAAAGGGTTGAAGGCTCTCAACATCCTCCGAGCAACGAGGTATCAAGCCAAGTGTGAAGCACGATTTGGAATGGATCAAGATACTCCATTCCCTCATCCGGGGCATCGACTAAATGTCACCAGAAGCAATAGCTGTGAGCTAACAGTGTTGGGCATGAACCCACAACCTCTTGTTTATCCATCAACCACCTTGGGGAGGGATATAAAAAATGAGAGAGTTAAGAATAGAGAGGTGTACGATAAGAGAAAAGTGAGCAAAAGGATTTTGAGAGAAAAATCGAGCCTGAGAGCCGAGTGATGTGAGAATCACAAATGAGAGGAAGGTGGGAAATAATACCCGAAGAAACTGGCTCCTCACGATTTCTGAGGTCTCTCGTCTTTATAACGCGTCTGTGTGTCGTGTCTTTTGTTTTGTTTACCTCAACTCTTGTTTTGAGTCAGTCCCAAGCGTGTCTCGTCATGTTTAGGTTGTTTACCTTTATTTTTTTTCTTTCCCGTTGTTGAGTCTTTTTTTTTTCGCTGTGTTCAGTCGTAGGCTCAACACTCGGTCGAAAACCCCTTTTCTCAAATCGCTTTGTGCTCAGGGTGCAGTGCCACTCTCCACATTTGTGCAAGGCAAGTCTGGTTCTTTCAACAAACTGCAGGGTCCACCCCCGATAAGTGTGAACAGGAAAACCTGAACCTATCCAAAGCTTTTGGGTTCCGGATTGCGAAGCAAGAACTTTCGGAGCATCTGAGTGTGTTTCAACTTCTGTAGAGTTCAGAATGAGCAGAGTTCAGAATGAGTAGTGTTCAGAATCAGTTGTGAACTGTGTGTATGGGCTGTATGTTCAGAATGAGCAGTTTTGTTGTATGAGTTGTTTTGCTGTTGGCCAGTTCATTATCTCACTATTGCAATACAAGTGTTTGATTTCCAGACAGGAGATCAATCTCATTTACATTAAGGTGTAATATGATGCAATGCGATGCAATGTATGAAATGTATCAATGTAATACTTTTTCAGATAAAAAGTTTGTTTCATTTCATCATCTTTTCAAATACAAAGTTTCGAAGAAAGTAAAAACCTGCCTACGGCAGTACAAAGTACTCAAGCTACCAGCAAAAAGTAAAGGAAAACAAAAAAGAAGAAAAGCAGCAAAAATCTGGATCAATGTCAACTGGTCTCAGGCCTGAGGGTCTGTCCTCATCCTCTTCCTGGACGAAGGTCCAGGAGTATCGTCATCAGCACCGTCGTCTGAGCCTAAGCCTGAGTCATCTCCAGCCTCCTCCTCAGATGACTCTGCCTCTACCTCTACCTCTACCTCGGACTCATCATCATCATCTGGGATCGGTGCCCGAGAGCTACTCCTGACATGAGTGCGCCCCGCTTTGGTGCGGGGGTATACTCTGCCATCTCGCCCTCGAACAGGAACAGAAGGCCCAGTCGGAGCACCTCCTGTAGCAGAATCTGGAATGGGGCCTGAAAAGCACAAATGGCAAACACATCAGTACGCTATACAAAGCACAGTATAAATGCCATGAGCAATCTATGAATACAGAGTACAGTGATTGAGTGCAGTGTATGAATGCCGTGAGTGATACTGTGAACAGTCTGTGGGCTACAGTGTACCAGATGTCGTGAGGGCCGTGTATCGGGTGTTGTGTTGACAGTGCGATGCATCAGATTATATGTGAAACAGTTTATGTATGGTTTGAGACTGTGGTCAGAAGAACATACCGGAATGCCGCAAATGGCCAACAGATCGAGGCTCCACTGGAACATCCCCATCACAGAGGCGGTCAGCTCTAGGGACTGACAAGTGTACTCGGAGGAAGCCTGCAAAAGTATTAAAAGTATCAGTATTTTGTGAAATATCGGACGAAATGAAATGAAATGACAATGCAAGATGCAAAATGAAAAAGTACATAGCGGGGGTAAGTCGTAGAATACGACTAACTCGTGATCAGCCAGAGGGGGAGCGATGGGGATCTGGTAAGTCTTCCCACCCTGTCCTCGGCATGTCATCGTCGTGGGTAGTGTTGGCCAACTAGCCCCCCGTCCTCTCCGAGCCCCACTCCTGCCACGGACCCGAGCCATCCTCGACGCTCCTGCTCCCGCTCCTGTCCTAGCTGCCAGCACCGCTGGCCTCTCTCCCTCAACTCGACGGCCACTGCTCAAAGGCCGCATGATGTAGGTCCGGACGTACTCTGTGTAGTCGCCCTCACCCCTAAAGCCCTCAGCATCCCAACCGATCGTATAATCAGGCATCTGCTCAGGAGTGAACCTCTCTGTCTCCCTCATATGGGTAGGAGGCGGACCTAGAACTATCTGCTCTCGTAAACCCAAGGTCTGACGCAGGAAGCGCTCACCCAGGTACCAAGCCCGATAGACTGGGCCCTCCAACAAGATCCTGAACCGGGCGGTCTCCTCAGCACCGGCAAACCGCTCCTGAATCGTAGCTGGCAATGGAGCCTAGGGCTGCCAGGTGATCTGTAAATGATATGTAATCAGTTACCTACTATTATGGAAAATACAGTGCAAAGCGAAGTGTGAAATAAACTCTAAAGTTGAACATACCTCTGCGAGGGTAATGGTGTCAAAATAGCGGCAGAAGAATATGAACGTCTCCCGGGGTCTCCGCATGCATCTCACATCAAAGCGTCAAGAGAATGGAACGCCGAGAGGGGTCTCCACGTCGGGCATTGGCACAAGCCTCGGGAAGTAGGCGTAGACCCACAACTGCAGAGTAAATATTAGTATGCTTATCAGATAAGGCAGAATGCAGAATAAAGCAGAAATGGCAGAACCGTGTATTGTGCGGTGTATTGTGCAAAGTGTACAATGTATGCAGTGTACAGTCAATGTAAAGCAGATTATATGTGTGCCGTGTGTGCAGTATACAGTCAACGTGAAGCAGATCGCAGTGTGCGCAGTGTACAGAGTACAGGAAATGTAAAGCAGAAATGTAAAAGCAGAAAAGAAAATGTACCTCCCAAGCTCGCCAGTAGCCCCCGAGCAACTGCCCGTTGCACCGGGAGGATAAGCTCATGTATCCATAGAGTGTGGCCAAGGCTGCCCCACCCCAGTCATAGCACAGAATCCGTGTGACGTCCACGAGCGCGCTCAGCAAACAGAGGGGCACGGTGTTCGCCCGGTCGGCGAAGATGGTCGTCCCCAACAGGAACATGAGGAAGCCGCGCGCGTACCGCTCCACCTCCTCCTGAGTCATCGGCGCCTCCTCAGCTAGAGCTGGCTGAATCCAAAAGTGGTCCTCAAACCACGAGTATCTGACGAAACCTGGGCGAGCAAGAGGCGGTAGGACGCCCAGCAAATACATCTGAGCGGCCTCCCACTCGTCCATATCTGTGTCAAAGGGGATCGGATCACCCCTACCCCGATGCCGGTGAGCATCGAGAAGTCATAGGGAGTCATCGTCATGTCTCCTGTGGCAGAGAAGTGGAAGGAATCGGTGGTGTCCCACCACCTCTCCACCAGAGCGGCAAGGAGAGGCCTGCTCGCGGTAAGGCGGGAAAGTCCACTGCAGAAGGCGCCGAAGCCGACCTGGTCTACGGTGTGACGAACCGCATCCGGTAGCTCCATATACCATCCTCTGGCGGCGACATTTCCATACCCACGGCAGGTATGGGAATCCCCCTGTATTCAAAACAACAGTTGCAAAGCAATATTCAATATACAGTTTTGAAAAACATTCAGAATTGATATAGCGTGTGTGCACATGTTCAAATTCAAACAGACATCGGGTGCCGGTGTGCTAGCAGTGAACTACAGCATATGATGTGTTAGTGTGTTTGAGTGGTTCAGTACAGATATAGCGTGTGTGCACGTGTTCATATTCAAACAAACATTGTGTGCCGGTGTGCTCGCAGTGAATTACAGTGTATGATGTGTCGGGTTGTTTGAGTGGTTCAAGGCAAATACAGTCTATGTGCACATGTTCCAATTCAAACAGATACTGAATGCAGGTGTGTTCATAGTCAACTACAGCATATAAGATATCGGTGTATCCAGATCAAACAGTTAAAGGCAGAATCGACTATGGCAGTTAGGTATTCTACTTTGCAGAAAATGAAACGGGGAAGAATATACCTCGGAGGCGCCGTGTGAAAAGTGCGCCTCAGGCTCACGCAGAAGTAGCTCCGCTGGCACCCTCCTGTCGAAACTCCTGAACTGGCGAAGACCGTCAGGAGGTAGCTCGTGAATCACCGGCCTGTAGGTCGCCGGATCGAATAGACGGGCGCTGAGAGGCAAGAGCTCGGCCTTTGGGTCCATATCTACCTCCGGGGGAGCCCCACCGCCTGGAATATCGTCTGCCATCTCGAAGAGAGTGTGAAGATGACGGGGAAAGTGAAAACCGGGTGAGAATGCAAAAGGTCAACCAAAAAGTCAACCCCGAGAGGGCAGAAAATGGCTGGAAAAGCCGAAATGTGGAAAAGGTACAGAGACGGAGATGAATGCGAGGGAAACAAGCCCCGAGTGGCAGAAATCAAAAAAGAGACACTGAAACGAAGATTCGTTCGATTCAAAATGTTCGAAACGCGAAGGTATTCGCGAATCGAACGTCGAAATGGGCACTAAAATCGAGGAAAACTGGGAAATGAAGGAAGAAAAATAGCCTAGAGAGGTGGGGGAGAAGATTTCGAGCAACAACAAGTGAAGAGAATAGGGTTTAAACCCCTATTTTAAAAGACCCGTGGCTGAAAGACCAAACTGCCCCGATTCAGGCAAATTTGGCCAGTCGGCCACACTGTTGGCCGGTCGGCCAAATATATGGCCGATGGAAGTTTTTGATGGCCGATGGATGGCTGGTGACCTCCTCTAGTGGCCTTTGAGCCTCCTATACCCTTGTTTGGGTCAAATGTGTGGTTTGGGGCCTTCATTGCTCAAGACAGTGCAAGAAAGTGCATTTCCGAAGCTTAACCGGTCTCCGTTTTGACCTCAGACCGTGTCTTTTACGCGTAGCGCTTGAATACGAGTGCGGTGTATCCTTTTTGTATCCTATTGTCTCTTTCAAGATTTGAAAGTTGCCCCACGCGTTGCTTTACAATGTTTTGACGTGAACGCGCGTTGAGTTATACGTCGTTTTGCTCGCATTGTTATGCGCCCCACTGTTTAGGAGACCTTAAATCCTCTGAATGTGCAAAACCTTTGGTGCTTGCATGTCCGCATGTGTTGTAGCACACATCATCCGTTGCATGCACACGCGTTGTAACACGCACGACTTGTACCTCCCTGCGGTCTGGCGAGACCTTAAATACGCTCGGTCTAGGAGACCTTAAATCCTCTGAAGGTGCAAGTCCTTTGGTGTTTGTCGAGCCCGAACAACTCTTGGCAAATTTTATCTTAGGTTGCATTGTCATGCATCCTCACTCGCATTATTATGCACACACCTTGTGCATTGTAGCGCATATCATGCTCGCATTATTATGCATTTCCTTTAGGCCGCATCGTCATGCGCACCTTGCATGCGTCGTCATGCATCTTCCTTACCACGCGTTGTCGCGCATTCAAGATCATGTGCATTGTCATGCATATCAAAAGACGTGCGTTGTCACGCATTCGCATCATCATGCACTTTTCATGCATTTCGAAAAGCAACAAAAAAAAAACATGCATTGTCATGCATTTTCCCCTCATCATGCATTATCATGCATTTTCGAAAAACAATAAAACACAATCATGCATTATCATGCATTTTCAAATGAAAACAACAAAAAAAAATCATCATGCATTATCATGCATTTCAAAAAAAAAAAAACAACAAATAGTGCATATGTCATGCATACATTGTATATAGTGCATTTGTCATGCATTGCATTGTAAATAATGCATATGTCATGCATTGCATCGTAAATAGTGCATATGTCATGCATACATTGTATATAGTGCATTTGTCATGCATTGCATCGTAAACATTGCATATGTCATGCATTTCATTGTAAATAGTGCATATGTCATGCATTTCATTATAAATATTGCATATGTCATGCATTCCATTGTATATAGTGCATATGTCATGCATCACTGTAAATATTGCATTTACATCCACCCATTGCATATTGTGTATATTGCATTGTAGCTTGCATGCATTCACTGCATCACCCCCGTCTATGGCTTGCGCCTTTCCATGTTGAGCTTGGTCTGGTATGTGCCCATACTTTTCATGCTGAAACACAGTTATGATATTATGTGTACGCACCTATTCCACTGCTGGTATTGTGATTTGAGGGTGACGGCACCATTTCTGTGTTAAACGTGGCTTGTTTGTGTCCATGTCTTTCCTAGGTAATATATGTTTTGGCCTGCGTGCCTTATCCATTGTATCCTACCCATCCATTGCATATTGTATATATTGCATTGTAGCTTGCATGCATCCACTGCATCACATCCATCTATGGCTTGCGCCTTTCCATGTTGAGCTTGGTCTGGTATGTGCCCATACTTTTCGTGTTGAAGCATAGTTTTGCATGTGTATGTGCCTATTCCACTACTGGTATTGTGGTTTGAGGGTTGCGGCACCGTTTCTGTGTTAGATGCGGTTTCTTTGTGTACAGGCCTTTCCTAAGCAAGATTTGGTTTGGCCCGCGCGCCATATCCATTGTATATATTACATTGTAGTGTAATTTGTTGTGTCCAGCATTTAGGATCATGTTCTTTTGTTAGCGGGTCATTCCCCACTTATGTCATTCCACACAATTACTTGTTCTTGTGTCCGTCTACATTACTCATAGTTCTGCATGTATACGCGCCTATTCCACTGCTGGTATTGTGGTTTGTGGGTTGCAGCTCCTTTTCTATGGTAGACGAACTTTACATCTCTATCATCCTTATGACATTTGTGTGGTTTTGAACTGTTCATGATTTGATCATGATTCAATTGCATATCATTTGCATTAATTTTTACATTGTTTTGTGATTTTGCATATCATTTGCATTGATTTTACATTGTTTTGTAATTTTGCATATCATTTGCATATCATCGCACGGTTTGTGCACTTTTCGGTCTAAGGAGACCTTAAATCCTACATCCTCAATCGCACTATTTTGTGCACCTTGCTCGCATTTCGCATGCATTTCAATCGCGCTATTTTACGCACCGCGCTATCTTGCGCACCTCATTCACACTTGTTAGTGCACTGCGTTGTCACACAACTTTCAATTGCATTGTTATGAATGTTGCTAACGATATTATTCTGTTAAGTTTCTCTCTTTTACAGGCACGATATTGTATGTACGGTTCATTTGAAGCTGGAGCAACCAGACGAACCGGACAGATATTGTATTCTCCGCGTGAAACGTAGCGAGAATTACATAATTCTCTTACATCCTTTCTGCATCATAATGTAGTTGGATTTGTGTTTGATTGCTTAAAACTGTTGCATTGTATGTGCTTCGTTACAGCTTTCTTTGCATGATCATAAGTTATGCTCGGCTTCTTGCATTTCCAGCTGCATTTTGCCCCTGCCTTCAGGCGCATATCTTTATTGTCTTGCATGTTTTCTAAGTCTTCGGCCTTGTCAAAAACCCGGTCGGCACTATTTGTGGTCGGTCGGCCATGTATTTGGCCAATTTGGCATTTTTGGCTGGCCGACCACTGTGCATCTGCTTTTGCAGATATTTTTATGCCAGCTGTGCTAGCTGGCATACACCTTTATGGAGGGATTTCACTCTTGCCTAGCTTGTTTTGTAAGCTTTGCAAGAGTGATCCTCTATAAAGAGGAGGCCTCTCCTCCCTCCTCTAGGGTTACAAAAATTCCAGGGAGAGGTTTGAGATTAGGGTTTGAGTCTTGTGTCTATTCTATCTCTATATCTCCCTCCCTTTTGCTCTTTGTGTGTGTTTGTCCTTACTATTGCACACAAACACCTAGTTCTACACCTCACCTTGGTTGCTGAGGGGCCAGAGAGTTGTTCTTGAAGTTCTTGTGCTGGTTTCAACCTAAGGAGACTGCTGGAGCACCATTTTTGAAGGAAGTCTTTAAGGGTAAGAATCTTGCCCTTTAATACCCCATTTTTGCATAGCTTTTTTGCCTATCTTGCAACTATTTCTAGACTTTGTATATAACTAATAAAAGTCTTGCTTTTCATTACTTAAAATAGTTGTTTAAGGGTGTTTTGTTGTTTGGGGTTGTTTGACCCCTCTTAAGCCTTGTTTGGCCCCCATTTTGTGCTATTTTGGTGAGCTCCGGGACCACCTTGTTTGGGCCTCCTCACCACTGAAATCTTGAGGGATTTCAGTGGTGAGGATGGTGGTTTAAGGTCCTAAGAAGGAGAGAGCCACCCCCTCTCCTTGTTGTCTTCAATATGTGCCATTTAAGCCTCATGTGTGAGCACCTTTTTTAAGTGCATGTTGGCCATGTCTTAAGTGTTATTTGTGCTTATTATGTCATGATATAACACTATTTTTACTTGGTTTAGACACACCATGCATGCTTAGCATACTTGTCTTGTAATGCCATAAATTTGCCTTAACATGCTTTAGGCTTTGACCCTTGCTCTAGCATGATTTTGGCCAAGCTTTGTGAAGCTTTTGTGTATGTTTTAGTGTGCTTTAGCTCTGTTTTTAGTTTCTTTGGCCATGCTTGGCATGATTTGCATAGCTACCTTGCATTTTAGCTTGATTGGCCTTGGATGTGTGAGCCTTGGTTGCATGCTTGACTTGTCTTGTTTACTTGGTTTGGCACCTTTTATAACATGATTTCAGAGTTTAGTATGCTTCCCATATGTCCATGATCATCTCTTTTAAGTGTGCTTAAAAGTTGTCTCTATATGCTTAAGTGTTGGACCTTGTATGTATGCATGCTTGGATGTGCACTTGGCCCCCATTTTCTTAGCATTTGGCCACTGTTTTGGGCTTGTTTGAGGGCTGCCTAAATTAGTTTAAGACCATCCTTCGCATGTGTTGCATGCTTGCCTTATGTGTTGTTGCATATTTGGCTTTGTTCCATGCTTATTACATTACACATTTGCATGCTTAGGTTGTAATGCATTTGGCATGCATTGTACTTAACATGTTGTCCATGTTGCATCTTGCATGCTTGCATAGTTAAGATTACACTTTGCATGTTTGCTAACTTGCATACTTGCCCTCATGTTCATGTTGCATACTTAGCCTCCATGCCTAGGTTGCATTGCATAGAGCATGCATGCTTTGCCTCTTGAATTGAGTATGATAGAGGTTAGGCTTTATGTGTTTATTTGGTTTGCATGTCATTTGAAATCAAAATGCACAACTCGGCCTCTTTGGCCATCATGCATTGAAATGCGCGATTGGTGGTCCGAGGGTCGAGTACCAAACTCCTTTGAGTCATAAACATGATAAGGAGTGTGGTTGGTGCAAACATTGCTTGAAATGCATTGACATGCCATGTTTTGCCCTCTGCTGTTGTCAAAACAGGTTTCTGCATGAAGCTTTGGCCGGTCGACCACATACAGTGCCGATCGACCAACGATGGATGGCCGATAGCTCCATGTATGGTCGATGACCACCCTGCCATGGCCGGTGATGATTCCCTTTGGCCGGTGGTGTTCCACAGTGTCCAAAAAGTGTACCTTGGGATTTGTGCAAGTCTCAGAGGAGCAGAGCAGGGTAAACAGAGACAGCTTGCGCATTGCGATGGATTTCCGAACAAACCCAAGCACGCATGCATTGGACCCTCTTCCCGAGGTGTTTTATCGCTTTCTTTACTTAATTGATTTGTTAATTAATTAGGTGGTCTGTAAATTATTTAATTAGCTTGTAGGTTAATTAAATTGTATTATTCTTTTGGTCCCTCTGAGCGAGGGCAAATTTGTAATAAGTGTGGGTGCGTGTGTGTATGTCTTACAACCCCCACTTCTTTCTCCCTTTTACTTACCTGCTTTGATGGTGAGTATTAGGACACGTTTAATTTAGCATACCTCATGCTATGCATGCGTGCATCATTCATCAGTCTTGCATGCACCGGGCTCGGCGCATCATACTAACTGCATAGTATTTCCATTCCAACTTGAATACGTGTATCGAGTTGTTGCATTTCACATGTCATTCTTAAATTAGCCGAGCCTATTCTAGTTGCATTCTGTATGTGTTGCATTAGCCATTTTAACATGAACTAGGATCATGTATGATTACTAACTAGTTCATTATTTTGGCACGGAGTACGATGTAAGTATTTATGCTTTAGCATCTCGCATGAGTGTGAATGTTAACATGACAGCATGTTTACCATATGGCTATGTGCTTATGTGATATTACTGCCTGAATGCCTGTGGGTGAAGGTTGGATTGTTTGAGTTTGAACAACTCATTGAAATCCGTGTTTTAGCCTACTCGTGAGTAGCAAATTTCAAATCATTTTCCAAATAAATGGATATGCAATGCTTTGTTCCAAATTAAACGGTCTAGCCTATACTTGTTTGCTGTGCGCATCACATAGTAAGATTAGGCTAATAATCGGAATAAGAGCACATAATGTTTTCAAAACTAGATATCATGGTTAGTAGAGGCCGATCTTCGGATCGGACGAGAGGGGGTGCTCATAGCTGACCTTCCCCAATTGTACCCAACTTCCCGAGCCGAGGCAACTTTGGTGATGACGGACACGTGGCCTTAGGCAATGACTCAGGGTTTCCTAAATTTTCCAAAATAAAATATTTAGGTGGCGACTCTATATCTGGCAAAGCAGTCCATGTTTGGCACTTCTATTCTAAAAATCTGTTTTCCCAAAAACGATTTGCAGGATTTAGACTCTTTGGTTCATATTAAGAACCGCGACAATTTGAGTCTGAACTGTAGCGAGCCCAAAATGAACAGAATAGGATTCATCCTCCCAGGACGTTCGGGGACGTCCACACAAGGCAGTGTGATACCCCAAGTCAATCGAATATATGCCTTTTGATTCATAATGCCAAACTTGAGAATCTTCCATAGGGGCCAAAGCAATAAGGATAGAGGTAATAGCTTGTATCTCAGAGTCACATCCAGTTTCCAGCTTTTGTTTGTATCAATAGCATCCTCCATTCTCTCAATCTCGTAACCCACAGGTTTCAAAGAGGTTACTCTAAAATCAGGATGAGAGGGGACCTATGTTTCATCCCAGAATCGAATAAAAGACCCACAGTTAACTTGCCACCTCACACATTCTTTTAAAATTTCCCTTTCCTGGAAGATACTTGCCTATGCCCATGAAGCTCAGTGACCCTTAGTTGTGTGCATAAAACTAGAATGAGGAAAATAAACGGCTTTCAAAATTTAAGCACTGAATGAATTCAGATATTTAATTAACCTCCATCCTTGTCTTGCTACCAACGCCAAATTGAACTTATTGAAATCTCTAAATCCCAGCCCTCCTTCAAATTTTGACAGCACCAGTTGATCCCAACTAACCCAGTGGATCCCTCTAACATCAAGATCCCCTCCCCACCAAAACCTACAAATATAGGAATTCCATTTAGTCCAGAACCTTTTTGGGAAATCAAAACAAGCCATAGCATACAAGGGAATCGTCTGTACTACCGCATTTATCAAAGTTTCCCTTGCAACTTGCGAGAGCAATTTCATCTTCAAACCCTGAAGTTTTGACACCAGTTTTTCAATGAGAAACTCATAGGCCTCCGCCTTTGACCTTCCCTTAAATGAGGGCAGCCCCAAGTATTTTGCATTTGAGTGTGAAACTTTAAGACCAGATAGAGCACAAATGGAACTACACAAATTTGGGGGGACGTTGGAGGAGAATTATACTCTCGACTTATCAAAATTAATCAATTGTCCTGATGCTTCACAATAAGTTGACAAGATTTCCAAAACTTTTTGACATTTAGAGACACATAGCAACCCAATATGAATGCATCTCATTATTTCACGTATCGAACCTGAGCCATCCCTTAATGCAGGGTCTATCAAATTCAATATTGTTTCTTCTCGCCAAGTTTTCCAAGCCTACAAGAATCAATATGTGCAATAAGCTTTTAGGGGCTGTAAAATTTCATGGGACTTGTAAGTTGTCATTGATATTAATTCATACTTTCATAACTTAAGAGGTCCTCCACATTATCCCCATTTTGGAAACCATTATTCTTTTGACCACTCACAATTTCCAAAACTAAGACACCGAAACTAAACACATCTGACTTGACTGAAAATTGGCCATGCATTGCATACTCTGGAGCCATATATCCACTGTAATGTTTAATATATTAGTGGCAATAATAGATTAGAGTAATATTGCAATGACTAAGCTTTTATATCAAAAAATGTATATGAAATGACATGTCATTATTGTATTGATTGAAACCAACTCTCTTTTATGACCTTTTCTCTGTAGTTACCAATTCTTAATGATTATAACAAAAATGGTTTGTTAATTTTTATTTTTATTTTTCTTATTCAAAGCATATTTTGTATACAAAAACAATTATCGACATATGAACCAAAACCATTTGGAAATAAACAATTATAGAATGTTGATTTTAATCATATGATGCAGGGAAAATTTTAGCACTTACTAGGTTCCCACGATTCTGCTTGTATTCCCTTGAGTTTCATCTAATACAAACAATCTTGCCATGCCAAAATCTGAAATTTTGGGGTTCATCTGTGCATCTAACAAAACATTGCTAGCTTTGAGATCACAATGAATAATTCGAAGTCGTGAATCTTTGTGAAGATATAGAAGTCCACGAGAAATGCCTCTTATGATCTTGTAACGCATATCCCAATCCAATTGTATACGATTAATGGGATCTACAGGTTTATTCATGTAGAAGGTTGAACCAAAACTCAAAATGGATTAAATCATCTAAAAATGTACTTCAAGGATTCTAGTTTTAGGCTTTATCATATGATGAAATGATATTTGGATCAAGATATATTTTCACTGTAGTGTCCCCTCTTCAATGCAAAGCTATGACAATGCATATTTTAGGTATGTCAAGATAAAGTTGATAACAATGAAATGTATAGGAAAACAACACAACAATCATACTGAATATGAAGTTATCGAGGCTCGAATTGGTCAAAAACTCGTAAATAAGAATTCTTTCTATTCCTTCAAGGCAGAATCCCAATAGTCTAACCAAATTCCTGTGTTGAAGCTTGGCAACTAGCATAACCTCGTTCTTAAACTCTAGTTCTCCTTGTCCAGAATCACTAGATAACCTTTTCACAGCTATTTCTTGTCTATTTGGAAGCCTACCCTGAAGATGAACAAAATTGATGTTAAACAAATTAAACTATTTTTAGCAAATATAAAATTTAATTTCAAACATGAAGGATCCATCATATTCGTAATTGAATATTTAATTACCCAGTAAACAACACCAAATCCACCTTGTCCGAGCTTATTAGCATCAGAGAAGTTATTTGTTGCAACACTAATAGTCTCAAAGTCGTATTGCAAGGATTCCACTGTGCTAATTTCATCCATATCCTTACAAACTGAAACAAGTTAATAATTATGTCAATAAAAGTTATAAATGAAAATACTGATCTTTTAGTAATGTTGATAACTTCCTTTAAATCATAATGTTAGCCATCGTATATGGTATTCCAAATTAGCATCCTAAAATTTTCCACAGGCACATTAAGAAGGTATCTTTTAATTTCCTCTCCAAGATTTATTTTTGGCAAGAACATACTGAGATAATTGACATCATTTAGAGTTGTTCTACTTTCTTTTTTTGATTTGTTAATGGTTCCAATTGAAACAAAATCGTATTAAAGTCCACATAGAGATCTAAATAAAACTATCTTAAACTTACTTTCAACATTCTTCTTTGGCTTCCTCTGCTTTCTCTTTCTTAAGAAGGTGCAAATACATACAATAAGTACTATCACGAAAGAAATAACTGAAACAACAATAGTGATGACTGTTCGAGTTTTATTATCATCCTTTCTTGCAAAAGAAAAAAAAAAGAAAAGAAATTCTCTCTCATTAAATCATGCTATAACTATGGATATTAAATGTTCGATGCGTATCTAAGTAAATCGGGATATATAGTTGTCGAGATCCATGAATTGCAACCAAAAAGAAAAACACACATGACCACGACATCTAGTTGTTATCTTTCGGGACGTCTTTCAAGAATTATCCAAGCTTGATTACTAATTCTCCTAATAACTTAAAATTGGGTTAAATTCATTTTTTCCCTTTGTGGTTTGTGGCTGGAGCATTTCCCCCATATCATTCAATTATAGCCAGGAAGTCTCCATATGATTTTGGACTAAAATACTATCAAGCCATGCCACAGGACTTCTTAAATTTTAAATTAAAATTAGATTAAAAAGTTAGAAATTGTAATAAATAGTTAAATATTTAGGATTAATTGTGATCTCAAATATGATTAAATTAAAATCAGAATAAAAATTTAAGAATTGCAATAAATAATTAAGAATTAAGAATTTATAATTAACTGTGAATTAGTTGAATTAATACTAGACATTATAAATTATGTATATGAGAGGTGAGAGAGAAAGAAAATAACCACAAAAAAAAGGGTTTAAAGGTATTATAGTCATTTCACATCTATAGTTAACGGTGTTAATAGTTGCATTTTAGTCCAAAATCACATAGGAGGCATTTAGCTATTTTTAAAAGGCAGGGCAATAAAGTACTATTAAGCCATACCACGGGACTTCTTAAATTTTAAGTAAAATGGTTCAATTCATCATAGTCTCTAATTTTCTCTCTTTTGTGCTAGTTTATCTCCTTTGTGCTGAGTGATTTGAGTTTCACTAAAGGAGAGTTGAGTGAAGGAGAACATAAACTGAGTGTGCTTTCCCTAATTATTTCTTGTTTGTGTAGATGTGCTTTACATGGAGCTAAATAGAGTCTTTTAAGGGTTGAGTGATGTTATAAAATTTGAGAGAAAGAAAAAAGAAACTCTGTATTAATCATTAGTGAATAAACAATGAGTACAAGATTGCTTTATATAAGAGGAGAGAGAGTTAGGTATGGTAATCCTAAGTATGGTAATGAATATAATATGGACATAAATATGAAGATAATATATATACTATATTTAACACACACACACCCCTCCCTCAAGCTCAAGGTAATAAGACAAATATCAACTTGAGCTTGGCAAGAAAATCAGTGTAGCGTCCTGGAGGATGAGCCTTCGTAAAGATGTCGGTTGTCTGATCGACAGAGGTAACAAAGAGAAAACGAACAGTGCCACGAGTAACATACTGTCATATCAAGTCACAATCTATCTCAATATGTTTGATGCGATCATGGAAGACATCATTATGTGCAATTTGAATGGCACTTTGTTTGTCATAATAGAGATTGGTGGCAATAGGATGAGAAACTCCTATATCAGAAGGAAACCGACGAAGCCATACAAGCTCGTGAGTAGTGTCAGCAAGAGTATGATACTATACTAGAACGAGCAGTAAGAGTTTGTTTCTTGCTACGCTAAGCAATGAGAGAGTCATCCAAGAAGAAGCAGAACCCTATAGTAAAGTAGCAGTCAGTAGAATTCCCTGTGCAATCTGCATCAGAAAATGTATATAATTGTAGAGAAGAGTGAACGGAGCAGTGAAGAACATGAAACACAGTGGCTTTAAGATAGCGAAAAATGTGAACCAAAGCATGAAAGTGCGGAGAATGAGGAGCAACCATAAACTGACTAACAATGTGAACATCATAAGCAATGTCTGAACGAGTAACTGTGAGACAAACAAGACTGCCAATGAGCTGATGATATAAAGTAGCATCAGACAACAAATGACCATCAAGAGATGTGAGAAGAGTCTGAGGATCAACTGGAGTAGAGGCAATCTTGCAATCGGTAAGACTAGCTTGAGCTAAATTCTTTATCTCAAATTGATGACTAAGGAACTATTTGAGACTAGAGATAACTACTGTGTCATCCCGGGTGATGATCATATCATCCACATAGAGAAAAAGAAGAAGAATAGTACCATGCTCCGTCTTACAAATAAATAGGGCAAAATCATAAGCACTAGAGAAGACCCCAAAGTCACAAATGGTAGAACTAAACTTGGCAAACTAAGCCTGAGGAGCTTGTTTCAAGCCATACAAAGTACGATGAAATTTGCAGACTTTGGATGACGGAACTGAGGAACTAGAAGAAGGTTGCATGTAAACTTCCTCAGTATGATCACGATTGAAAAAAACATTCTTAACATCCATTTAACAAAGATTCTAGTGGTGAGCAGCAACAACTGCAATTAAGCTGGGAATGGAAGTAAGACGAGCAACAAGGAGCAAAAGTCTTCTTATAGTCAATCCCATATTCTTGATTGAACCCCTGAGCAACAAGATGAGCTTTGTAACGCTCAATAAAACCGTCAGAATGGATCTTGATCTTGTAAACCCATTTACAACTAATAGCACTTTTGCTAGGAGGAAGATCGACCACATCCCAGGTATGAGTTTTATCAAAAGCCTGTAGTTCATTAGTCATAACTTGTTGCCAAAGAGGATTAGAACAAACCGTTTGATAGGAAGTAGGTTCATGAGAAGAAAAAGTAGTGGAACCAACAATGAAATAAGAAAGAAGTACAAAAGGTTAGGTTACCCGAGTAGAATAACGAAAAGGTACCTCTAGTGCAAAAGATGATGTACTAAAATCAAGGGATACATGAGGCTCACAGGGAGAGGGATATGAGGACAGGACTAGGAGCAAGAGCAAGGGTAGGAGCAAGAGCAGGCTCAAGATCAAGGAGTGGTGCAGCAGGCCTAGGAGACGAAGCAAAATCCTCAAGATGGGCCATAGTCATCATGTTAGAAGTGGCATATGTATCAAGCTCATCAAACAAAAAAGAAGGATATATAAAGAATGATGTAGTGGGAGGAGTGGATAAATGAAACTTAGATATAGAAGAGAACATCTTGTGTTCCCAAAATACCACATGACGAAAGACAGGGAGACGACGAGAAAGAGGATCCAAACAACAATAACCTTTATGTTCAATCCATTCCCGAAGAAGCAACATAACCGGACGTGAGGTTCTAATTTGGTACGCTCATGTGATTAAAGAAGAATAAAACAAGCACATCCAAACACACGAAGACTAATATAAAGCAAGAAATGTGCCATACAAACACTCATATAGGGTTTGATTTTTTTTGGTAGGGGAAGGGACATGGTTGATAGTATAGGAGATATCAAAAACATTCAGGACAAGAAGAAGATATTAAAAGGCCACAAACAGTATCTAAGATATGGCGATGTTTGCGCTTAGCACGACCATTTTGTTGGGAGGTACCAAGGCAAGAATAGTGAGAAAGAGTGCCATTTTGACGAAAGAATCCCAAAAAATGAGTTTCTTTGTATTTTTGGGCATTATCAGTACAAAAAATTTTGATAGTGGAAGAAAACTGAGTTTTGACAATTTGTGAAAAATCATAGTATATTTGTTGTAACTCAGAGTAAGATTGCATAAGAAATAATCGGGTAAAACAAGTGAAATCACCGACAAATATGAAAGTATTTAGATCTCCCCATGGTGGCATTATGTGAAGGTCCCCAAACATCAGAATGTATGAGATCAAAAGGTGTATGAGACATAAAAGTACTAATATTAAATAGTAAAGCAGGTTGTTTTGCAAGTTGACAACATAGACAATCTACTTTATTATTTGGAACAAGACTTAACTGACCACTCGAAACTAGAGATTATAAACGACCAAATGATACATGACCTAACCAAGAATACCATATACCAAGAGGAGAACTAGTAGTAGTAGGAGCATTAGTCTGGACAGAAGCATGACTGGATGAGGGAATACGAAGATGGATGAGCTCATATAGACGTCCATGTCTACAATCTATCCCAAGAGTCTGTCCATTTTCAGATCCTGCACAACACAACCAGTTGGAGAAAAGAGAACAATGATACCAAGATCACAGAGTTAACCAATAGAAATAAGATTAAGGATAAGGTTTGGGATTACATTTGGGAACCATCAACAGTGTGAATAACAGGTAAAGTAGAAGAAAATGTAGTGGACGAGAAAAGTGTAGGGTTAGAGGTCATATGGTTGCAGCAAGTTAAATCAAAATACCAAGAGACATAAAAGTACTAATATTAAATAGTAAAGCAGGTTGTTTTGCAAGTTGACAACATAGACAATCTACTTTATTATTTGGAACAAGACTTAACTGACCACTCGAAACTAGAGATTATAAACGACCAAATGATACATGACCTAACCAAGAATACCATATACCAAGAGGAGAACTAGTAGTAGTAGGAGCATTAGTCTGGACAAAAGCATGACTAGATGAGGGAATACGAAAATGGATGAGCTCATATAGACGTCCATGTCTACGATCTATCCCAAAAGTCTGTCCATTTTCAGATCCTGCACAACACAACCAGTTGGAGAAAAGAGAACAGTGATTCCAAGATCACAGAGTTAACCAATAGAAATAAGATTAAGGATAAGGTTTGGGATTACATTTGGGAACCATCAACAGTGTAAATAACAGGTAAAGTAGAAGAAAATGTAGTGGACGAGAAAAGTGTAGGGTTAGAGGTCATATGGTTGGAGCAAGTTAAATCAAAATACCAAGAAAAAGTACCTAGAGTAATTGAAAGAGCAGTAGAGGGTGTTCCAGAAGTAGAGGTAAAAAGAACCTTTTTCACTATGGCTTCAATATCATGACGAGTGCAGGTTGGTGAAGGTTCAGGAGTAGTAGAAGAGCCACCTAGAGAATGTTGAGCATGTAGCTGGTGATTGGTAGCAGTGAAGGCAAAATGAGCCAAAGAGTGATGCCAACCATGAGTCGTAAGGGGTCCGAAAGAGCCACCGTGCTGATAAGAGCTGTCTGAATGATCCATTGAGTGAGCAAAATAGGAATCACAAAGAGGGATCAATGGTGTTGGAGTAAAACTGGGTAAAACAGAGTGTATTAG